AAAAAATACAGAAAAATATTTTTAAGGTGTCTATGTTTCCCTAAATAATTCTTGTATTGTCCTCATTCACTCACGCAGTGTAGCAACACTGCTACAAGCCTGAGGCCCTAGTTATTTTACATGGACTATTATGCCTCAGTCTATAGCTTTGGCAGATAACATGGCCTTGGTCTTGACAATTTACAATGTACCATAACACCCCCAAGAATTGATTCCTGAACTTTCAGTGGTGAAAAAATTAGACAAGCAGCAGAGACTCTCGATTCTTTTAATGTAGCACCCTCTATACAAAAGGAGGTCTTTGCAGATTAAAAAAAATTTTTTTTACTTTCTTTAGCAAATATCTTGAATGATATTTAATACCCACCCCTCCCCCCATTCCTAGACCTTCTCACCCTCCCTTCCCCAGTTACCAATCCATCCTCCACTTACATCAAACTTGAACACATGTCTGTCCAAGGAAACGTCCACCAAGTTTTCTAATTCCTTAAAATGCAACGTAAGATCTGGTGTTTTTTGTGTAGAAACCATTCCTAGATGCAATTTCGTTATTTCTTTAGCATGGCTCACAATAAGTTCAAGTGTAGAGGGATTCGGATTATCTGTGGTGATGGCTCTCAAGCTTGGTATTCCGACCAATATTGCTCGTTGGAATTCCTTGCTACAAGTGCTTGAAAATATAACAGATTCGGCTTTTCTTGGACTAAGAAGGCTCACAATGTGTTTACATTGAACTAGCTTTTTTGGAGATAGCACAAAAGTGGTATTTTTCCAATGATTTGGTGATTTCATGATCTCTCTGAACTGTCTATTGACGCGTGATAGGATCCCTTTTTCTTTCTTGTTTAGATATTCTATCACATGGAATAATACGACTGTAGGTAGCTCTAAGATTGGAAAACATTGACAGTATGGAAATCCCTTGTTATCTGTTTTAAACATACTTTGAAAGTCTTGAAAATTATTTAGATTTTGGACGGCTAGCTCAGTAATGATATTAAGGACGATAAGTGATGTGACTTGGGTATTGTAACGCTACTTGCGTGACTTACGTAAAGCCTTGTTTTGATTGGATAACTTTTTTTAGTTGTTTTTCCCCCTATTTTTTATTATTATTATAAACTTATTCTTAGTTTTAGTTTAATCTTGATTGTTTGTTTAGGACAATACCAGGAGACATCCATTGTTGAAGCGGCAGCATTACAGAAGCCCGGCCAAAGGAAACAGTAAGGTTTATAAGACGGGTTCAGACTGTTACACTTTTTCGCGTTGAATCTAATAGTGGTTTTGCGCCATCACGTGCCGCCGCCAAAATCCAGCTTAGAAGAAACTATTAAGAGTTATAGGAAAAAGAAAGAAAAGAGAAAATGGGGGGCCCTCATTTTTTTTTAGTGGAAAGTGGGGGGCCTTGAAAGGTGAGAAGAAAGATTTGTTGTCTCCCCACCCCCCCCCCCTCGACTTGAATAATGAATTGTCCCTTACTAAGTTTGACATGTATTAAATCATATGCACATAATGTCAGTACAAAGAAATTGTCGGAAAAAATTCTATATCGTTTTCGCCTTTCGCTGTTTGTATTCATCTAAAACACCCATAGTGCAGTTGATCCATTTTATGACGCTATATTTTTTATAATATTTATAATTTAGGAAATTAAATCATACGTCAGCTGCTAAGCCGAGAAGTTCATACGAAGTACAAACAAAGTTGGACAAGTGAGAAGTGCAAACCAGACCTAATGTAAACCTAGGATCTAATTGACTCATAATAGCATAATGAAAGACGGTTAACTTACAGTTACGTAATAATAAACAGAGACTAGCTTGAGTACAAACAACACCATATAGGGCACGATGAACAAAAGATGTTTGTACCCATGCTAGACCATGATGCATCATGCTACCTATCAGAAAAGGTATATTGGAAATCATGACGTCACTAATCAAGTGTCATAATGCAGCGATCGCCCCTTCTCTGTCTCTTATACACTTCTGGTTCATGAAAGATGGCATCGGTATCGGAGCTTCCAAAACAGAAAAGGATTGCTATTATAGGAGGTGGCTTGGTGAGTTTTTCTCCAAATTCTTTTTGAGTAAATGCACATATCCGAGAGTGTGATTTTCATACGAGTGGGAAATGTGCGGTACTGATTTACAACTCGTACATGGTGTACGACAAGCCATGGCATTGGAATGGCTTCTCATAAGAATGGTTATCGTATAAATGAGTGAGAAACATAAGGTACTGACTTACGAATCGCACACGGTACGACATGCCGTATTGTTATAAAGTGGCTTCCCATAAGGATGGTTTTCGTATAAGTTGGAAACGTGCGGTACTGATTTAAAGTAAACCGTAACATTGAAATAGCTTGCAATTGCCTTCGAGTAGATTATCTCATCTATAAACCATTCAAATTCGTATCGTTGCGGGTAATGCGACACGACTACAGTACGGCTACCAATTATAGCTGTATCGTTTCGCACTCTTACGAAAAACCTTTCTTCGATACATTCTTTATATCTATTTCTGATTCTTAACTGAAATGGGCGGGGTTGGAGTAAAATTTGTATCAGGTCTCCGGAGTCATACTATAAGTGATTTATATAGTTTTATGCTTACTATAAGAAAATAGGAAATAGTTAAAYATGAAATTTATAGTTTTACCAAACTTGAACTGCAATTAACTTCATATTTGCGCCGTAAATTACTCTTTTGCAACTTCTTTATCTTAGCCTTGGCCTATGTAAACAAATATTACATAACCTTAAGCTTGACTTGGAGGACAGTTCGTTAAATATTATTTTCTTAATTCACCTGGAAAGGACGCTCCTTACCAATGCTATAACTACGTGTTTTGGATAATTCAAAGAGAAGGAATAAGATAAGCCATTTGAGTGTAATTAAAGGATAACGTCGCATACACATACGTACAGTAGCCCAAGTAGCCCAGCAACGTTTTCCACTTGAATAAATAAATTGAAATCCCTACAATGAGAAAACTTTTTTTTTTTTTTTTTTTAAATCTTATTTTCGAAAACTAGACGATTAGAAGTGGCGTAGCGAAGTTTTCGCTCAGTTCCTAAAGTCTTCATTACAAGACATACCAAAGCCGCACGTTTGTAACTAAAAATAAGATTTCATTATCATACAGTCAAGATGTCTATGGACAGGGCAATAAAATCGGCTAATCGCAATCGGCCTTGGACAATAAAATCGTTCAAAAACACCCAGCAAACAAGGTCTTATATGTAAAAGGGGGAAAAAGAAAGAAAATATGTTTCCGCATTTAGTTATGTATATAGCAGTTACGTGAAAATTCTGTCCAAAAAAAGTTGTCTTTGCATTACAATTGACTGATATTCTTGATATGAGATGGCAGACACAATAATAAACATTGTGAAAGAACTATTATTGACTTGTCAGTCAAAAATTAATTAAATTCATTTCTTCAATGTAGAGTAGAGTTAATGAACCTGGAAAAGTATAGTAAAGTCAATAACACTAAGGCCCCGTCCAAACATTTTTTTGCGGATACGAAAATAATGGCGTCCACGCGTGTCCGTTTTTGTAGAATTTGCGGATACGGTCACAAAAATTTGGGGACACGTGTGGACGCAACCCGTATCCGTAAAAAAAAATTGCGAGAATCAAGAATTTCCGSATACGTGTGGACGGGGCCTAAATATTTACGGATGCAAGGTCCTTTGTCTCTTTGTTGTTAGAGTGCTACTTGCCATCAGGTACGCGTTTGATGAATCTGCACAAAATTTCATTTCTTTCTAAAGGCAATAATGACACGAAAGTTAACAAAATTTAAGAATGCAAAAAAAAGAAAAAGTTTCAAAAGAAAAAATGTATCAAGTTTTTGGAGCTTCTAATATGAATATCTTGATGAATAGCAAGATGCTGATGAAGAGCAAGATGCTCGAAAGCTTGGCTTGATTTATAATTTAAAAGCTAATGAATCAGAACTATCATGAATCAGAACTATCATGAATATTCATTATTGTCAAATTAAATGCTAAATTTCTTAATAAACGTTCCATCGCACTCTTGAGACTCCGTTCGCCTTATTGTATGYCTGTTCGCTCTAATGACAATGCTTCTTCGCTTCAATGAATATTCCTTTGCGGTTAATGAACAGCAAAAGGTGTAATTATTTCTATCAATAATGTCGTTTGATTATTTCTACGTGCATGTTGAAAAATATTTGCATATTTCCACGTACGAATAGATGTTTCGCACCATCGCGTGCCGGCGCCCATAATACAGATTGGGCTGCCTGTGGTTAGATGGCGGAGCAAAAAAATCCATGTACTTTTGGGAATTGAATTTTTCCTTATCTAAAATGATTGCCATCTAACATGGCTGCCGTCACGTAATGCTTCAAATTCACTGGAAAACACTTACTGCGCATGTCGGGAACATCGCAAACGAATATTGAACGGTCGAACACTTATCGATCGATACTTTTTTTTTCACAAATCGCATCAATCGGAAATGAGAATTAATAAAGTCTGCGTTTGATACTTCTGATTTTTAACATCACTGATCAATTATCTAGGAGCAAAAATATAGCTAGTATGATATGACTTGTGTTTCCTTTAAAGGTTGGGTCACTGAATGCCATMTATTTCGCAAGACGTGGATTCAAAGTGGATTTGTATGAATCTCGTAAAGGTAACTTGAGTAGCTAGAAAGATAGAACTAATGATTAAATGAAAGATAGATTAACAGAAAGAAAAAGGAAAGGGAACAAAGCGGAATGAAGCAAGCAAGAAGAAAGAAAGGAGGAAAGGGAAGGAGGGAAGGAAGGAAGGAAGGAAG